TTCTCGCGCACCCGCAGGGTGTAGGCGGCTTGGCTGAAGGCCGGGGCGTTGTCGTTGACGTCGGACACCGTCACCGTTAGGTTGTGCTGGGTTTTCAGCCTGGGGGTCCCCAGGTCGGTGACGGTGATGGTGATGTTGTACTCGGATCTTGTCTCTCTGTCCAGCGCCCCATTTGTTACCAGGGTATAGAAATTCTCTTCTGATGGTTTCAGGAGGAAGGGGAGATCATCCTGGATGGAGCAAGTCATCTTTCCGTTGTCCCCCGAGTCTCGGTCTCTAATTCTAAACAGAGCCACTTCTGTCTCAGGGGAATTTTCAGGAATGGGACTGGTGAGGGATGAAATAGTTATTTCTGGGAAGTTATCATTAACATCCACCACCTCAATGGAGACAGAGCATCTTCCAGAAAGCCCCCCACCATCAGCCGCATCTATTTCCAGCTCATATGAAGATCTTGTTTCAAAATCTAGTTTTTTAACTAGTCGAACTTCTCCTGAAAGGTTGTTTAGCTCAAAAGTTGTGCTTATTTCCTGAGAAATATAAAAATAGGAGTAGGATATCTCCCCATTTGTCCCAGTGTCTAAATCTCTAGCGGAGACCTTGATAATTAGCATGCCCACAGGGCTGTTCTCTGGAACCTTCACCTGGTAAATTGTCTTTGCAAACTCAGGGGCATTGTCATTGACGTCCAAGACCAAGATGCGCACCTGGGTGGTGCCAGACCGGGGTGGAGAGCCTCCATCCAGCGCTGTGAGGGTTAATCTGAGCTCCGTCTGCTTCTCTCGATCCAGCTCTTTATCTAGTACCAGTTCTGGGTATTTCCTACCATCCCCCCGGATGCGGGTAGAAACATGGAAATGAGAGTTGGGACTGATACTGTAATTCTGGATGTTGTTGTTGCCCACATCCAAGTCCTGGGCTTTTTTCAGAGGAAACACGGTCCCGGGGGGGCTATTCTCTGAGATTTTCAGAGTCATTTCTCCTTCAGGAAACTCTGGAGAATGATCATTTATATCTCTCACCAGTAGCTCAGCTCGAAATACTCCCAATGGTTTTTTCAATAACACTTGGAAATGCATTACACATGGATCTCTGGGGCCACACATCTCCTCCCGATCCAGTTTCTCGTTTAATATCAACTCCCCGGTCTGCAGATCAAGCTGCAAGCGGGATTCATTATCCTCAGAGACCACCCGGGCTCCCCGTGCTGCTAGCTCCCCGACTCCCAGCCCCAGGTCCTTGGCCAGGTTGGCCACAAACAAGCCACTCTCGGTTTCCTCCATCACGGAATAGCGACGAGATTCCCAGCCTGCCAGAGCCACCCCCAATACGAGAAAGAAAATCAGGACTTGCCTTTGTTTGGGAAAACACTCCCCTCCAGCCTCCATCTTTAGTTCCACAAACTCCTTTCCAGAAACAGGGCCCAGCTCTACCTTAGGGACAGTGATGGATCTCTCAATTGGTTACCTGTCCGGAAATGTTGGTGAGTAGCATGATGTACTGGTCCTGAACTCTGCGTACAGGCTTTTGTCTTCAGCTATAGATCCGAAGTAGAGTTCGTAGCAGTTCCTGGGCTGCTTTTTTTTTTTTTTTTAATTTAAGCCTTAGCCTGCAGCGCCACCATGCGTTGTCTTCCAAAAGAATCGCCACAATTGTATTCTCTGATAATCCAGCGGGCTATTAGGAGTTTGGAAATGGTTTGAAGGAGGCGATGTAATCAGAAAATCATGTAATTATAATTATTCATTCCTTCACTCAAAGAAGTGTTATTGGTATCTATTTACTAAGTTCTGATAGATCAGTGAACAACCCAAACATGATCCCTACTTTTTACAACCTGTAGTCTGGGTGAGGTGCTAGGAAAGTTGAGAAATGAAAGAAGACAATAGTGATAAATCATGTTGTGAAAACAGTATATACCTATGTGATTTCTTAAAATTCTCTCAGCAAATAGGATGAATTCCTCTAGATTTTCTTTCAAATTCTAGGCAGTGTATGTGACAGAACGGTAGTTCCCTTTGGTTGAATCACATCAAAGAAAAAGCTACCAGATAATTACAGTTTATGTAATTATGATATCATTTTGACATAAGGTCAGAGAATTATGATTTTATAAAACTTTCAAACTATGGGAAAATGCATATGAGGGCACTTCCTATATCTCTTACCCTGCTTTTCCTCCTTAGCATTTATCTGATATAGCATATATATACATATTTAATTTTTTCTTTTCTGTGTCTTTCTTGTGCTTGAGATCTTTGTTTTGTTCATGTCCACATCTCCCAATATCTGGAACAGTCCCTGGCACATGGTAGATGCTCAACCAATATTTGCTTAACAGATCAATCAATAAATCACAATTAATTTTAAAATTCTGATAGATGGAGTCTCCTCCTAATGTAGAAGTCCCCTTTTTTGCTGGGATCCTGGTACATTATATGAGCTGGATAAACAAAACATCATGTTCCCAGGTAGCCATTTTCTATGCTCTTTAGAAAAATAATTTGCAATATTTCAGAATGATCTAAATGTTTTTCATTAAATGGCAAAATACTCTGGCATCCCTTATGTAATGGAATAGATTCTAAAAAAACAAAACATAACTACCAGGCTATAAAGATCCTACAAATAAGGTATACATCTCTTTAAGAACACATTTTACATTGTCAATGTTATTTCACACTAATGCTATTATGACAGTAATAATATTCAAAACTTTCTTACATAGGAGAATTTTCAAAGAATTTCCATAAGACACTCAAAAAGCTGCAAAATTTTAAAATAGCCATCAGTTCTTCTCAAAATCATTTATTTTAACCAAAGCTTGTGCTTGTCCCTTACAGAGTACTAATATTCCACAGACTTTTGATCCCAAATATTATTATATTAAAATAAAAACCCCAATTTAAAGATCTCCAATGAAGAGTAAAGTTCAATCCATGCAAGAATTTAAATATGCTTTTGACAAGGGAAAAATCCACTTAGCTATCATAATTAAAAGGAGATTTCTTAAAAAGCACACATATGTGTTTCCAAAAAGCCAAGGGAGAAAGCCAACTTGGGAGGTACTGGAAAACCCATAATGTTACTTTTTAGGCATCTCCTTTCTTCTTGTCTCTAAGTGCATTGACTTTGTTTTTGTTTCCATGTATTTAGCCAACATGATATCACTTTTTGGTTAAGTTCCTAACAGAAACTATTTTAGATCTGATTTCTAAAGCCATTTTTTTAAACAAAAGAGATTTACTCAGCTTGGATTAGCAATACCACCTTGTCTGATTGTCTGAAGACACAGAGGGAAATTGGTCAAATAAAATAAACATGGCTGCAACCATATACTTCTACTGAAGAGAGAAGTTTCCTGGAAATAATGGGAGGGCTAGACAGACACCACAAGGAATCTAGCATTTAAATGTCCTGAAATAATCTAATAATCTTTTGATAATACTCATATATATGATATACTGAAGGTTGATATAGAGGAAAAGCCCTTAAGTATGGGAGAAATTGTAGCCTTTCTATTTAATACTACTGTGAAACAAAAACATGCATTTTTTGCAGACATTTCACCATTTAAAGATTTAAAACAGGTAGGCTTAATATCAGATTAAACAGAAGCTATACTAATACTTCATTATATTAATATCATGATGCTTTCTAAGTAACCACAACATCAAAAATTTAGAGTTTCCATATAACAATCAAATAGAGGATGGGGCTGGAGTCATCTTCAAATCAACCGTGCTTGATAATGAAAAGTTGATAAATTCAACACATGTTCATGACTTTTAAGTAATGCAATGAAGTTGAAAATTCTTTGTCTCTATCAAAATAGAAATGATAAAAAGAGAGTAAATATGAGTATATACTCAAAGAATATTGCTAATCCCCTTAATAGGAATATGGAATCAGCAAATCATCCAAGAAATTCTATATGGACCAAAAACAGTAATGGAGACCTATCATATTTAGAAAGAACCCAAATTCCTTCACCCAAGTTCCTAATTGAATCCAAAATTATTTACAAAATTTGACTTTTCCTCCACACTATTCACAGACCTCTGTTGGGTAGAGACAACAGACCAAAAACTTAAATTCCCTGGTCCCAGATTCTCCCCTGACACACCTCGTACTGGTAGCTGTGGGACAGGGTCCCCGCGCCGCTGACGTCCACCAGGTGGCCCGGAAACGGGCCCTCGGCCACCGAGCAGCCG